AGGCCCAGCAATGCTATCACTGTAATGACTTACTACTTTTCCTAAACTGAATGAGCTTCAAGCGCCTTGAAACCTGAAGGCCTTGGAAGGAGCCTTACACGGGAGGAGCCCCTGGGGCTCACGCTGCTTTAGCTTCTCTACAAACCCACCCTGCAGACAGGTAAGTACCTAGTCATCAAGATGGCTTTCAGCACAAAGGAAATATGGTGAGGGAAACCAGAGCCCAACCGCCTGCCACACAGAAGGTTGACTTCGCCTTCCTTTTATTGAGTCTTGAATTTCCCACTGCTCAGCATCTCATACTATGCTGAAAAAGCTCTAAGACATACTCCCACAATGCTGGGAGGGGGCCTGGGGGACCTAGGGGTAGGAAGGAGGAGTTTTTTCCTAGGAGTAGTTAGATTATAGTATTAAGTAAACACGTGAATAGGCACTTTATCAAGATCAATCCAAGACCCGTCCTCTCGAGATTTACATGCCTACAGCTATGGTCAAGGTTATTAGTCGGTTTTCCTTCTGATGTCAAAACAGTCTGAGAGGGATTTCTTCCTGAGACAGGAAAAGGATCCAGATATGCATTCAAATAACATTAACTTTGTTGGCATTATCTCAGTCAGCTCTTTTGCTTACTTTCTCCTCTTAATTGCTCTCCACACCCAGAAAGGGAAGAAAAAACAAAAACCACTACTGGCTTTAGCTGCCAGGTTCTAATGATAAGCAACCACTTTCTGGCGAAACTTTTAATGACAAGGCAGGCGGCGCACAGAGCAGGAAGCACCCGGCTCCTACTCGAGGCCTCGCGCCCACCCTCACCACACTGAGAAACACCATCATTAAGCTAAGGCCCTGCGAGAACCTGCGTGTAGCCAGGAGGCTCAACATACTTTCCTACTCTGTGGTCACCGTCTAGAAACTTCAGGGCCAAAACCACAGGGGCAGCTGCGACTTGGGTTTCCAGACCTGCCCCAGGAATTTTTGTTTTTTTACTTCAAAATGTCCCCTTTGCCCTTTCCCAGCGGCCAATAGTGGGAGGGACTTGCACAGATCAAAGTTAAAAACCTGTGTCACTCTGAATGCAAGGGCAGTTCTAAACGGTTCCCACTTAAAAACTTTGTACATGACAGGCTTCTTTCTAGGCCTCAGGGAAATGTTCACCTCTGTAACTCTCCCACTTTTGAAGGCATGGCAACTGTGGCCACGAGTGGCCTTTTTATCTTGTACTTTGAACACACATGAATGAAAATACACACCCAGCCACATCCTGGTGAGTTAACATCACCTACCTAGGATCCAGAAAGCCCACTCCTGGGTACTTACCCAAGAGAGATGAAAATGTCCATGAAACACTGGTAAGTGTAAGAATGCCTGTGGCAGCAGTGTTCAAGGTGCCCCCTCCCAGGAAACCACCCAAATGTCCATTAACAGGAGTGGAGATAAATAAACTGGGGTACATCCAAATAAGAGAAACCTACTCGGCAATTAAAAAAATCCAAGCTACTGATAATGTCCAACAGGAGTGAATCTCACCTATTAAATTCCGTGAAGGAAGAAGAACAAAAAAATTTTTTAAAGAAGTGCATAGTATATGATTCCATTTACATCAAGCACTGGAAGAGGTGAAACTAGTTTACAGTGACAGAAGTCAGAACAGGATGTATGGGAAGGAACTTTCCAAGGGGAAAGAAATGTTCTATCTTGATTAAAGCAGAGGCAACAAAATGAATGAAACTGTACACTTCAAATGTGTCTGATCATACATAAATCACACCCTAACATGAAAAGAGAAAACAAATGACGGCTGGGGGATGTAATGGGGTGAGGGGTTTAGCCTGTCACTTTCTGGGTTGCTTGATTCTGCAGAAGCCACACGAACATCTCAGCCCCCGAAACGCCATGCAAACAGAGCACCCACAGACCCTGGACAACAGCCCCTGGGCCTCAGGCTCGAGGCCTCCACTGGGCTGGCCTCCCCTGAGCTGTGCTGGCAACTAAGGGAGACAGGCATTGGCAGCAGGACCTCAAAGGCCTCGCGGGCCAATATGAAGCGGGGTGGGCAGTGCTGTGCAGTCAGCCTGGCACCTGGCCAGCACCCTTACCCAGTCTTTCAGCAAAGGCCACACCAGGAAGCCCTGCCGGACGGGACAGAGGAGCCGGCCGCACGGGCTTCACACAGGCCTGACATCTGCCTGCAGGGGGTGCCCTGCCAATGATGAGGGTTCACAGCCCAGGAGAAAAGCTCTAAGCTGGATGAGCTTGTCTGGGCTGAGTGCCTCCCACCCACCCACCCACAGGCCAAGATGGGCCCCGGAGCCTCAAACAGGGTTTTCAAGTGACCATGTTACTTGGGTCAAGTAACCGTGTAGCTCTGTCTACCCTGGTAGTTGGTGCCTATTACAAGTACAGCTCCGTGTGCCTGGGGTTCAGTAAGTATGGACAACCTGTCAGGATGATTGTTCTATGGCTTGCCTTCTCCACTTCTGGCTATGCCCATGTGCACACGTGTAGAGGGAAGGACGGGGACTGCCACTGCTAAAAATACCAATTTCCTACTCGCCCTCACTCACCTCTTCACAAGACAACAGGGGCCTTTCCCACCAAGGCCTGGAATGGCTGCTCCTTCTTACTCCTCACACTCCCTTCAATGCCATTTCTTCAGGGAGACCTTCCCTAAGGTTGACCTCCCACCTGCACCTCCATGCCCTGCTGCCATCATCTCCTAGCACTTTCCTTACCCTCATCATGACCGCAGTGACTTGGCTGTTTGCTCACTGTCTGACTTCTCTATGCACAGTAAGGTTGAGGAAAATGGCAATCGTGGCCAGTTTGTTCTCCACTATATAAGGCCTCAGTCAATACTGGCTGAATGGGCAAATTCTCTATCTTTAAGCAAACCAACAAAAGCCAAAACCCAAACCCCCACATGTATTCGTGCAAGTTCGATGTATGCGAGACAGCCTTATAATGCATGCTCGCTTCTAGAGAAGTCTTCTGGGAGCCAGTCTGAGTCTCTCTGTGACACAGGACACACATGGCCATGACAGAGGAGGATGCTGAAAAGTAGATGTCCCACATCTGATCAAAGTACCAATCTCTGTGGCCAGAAGAGATGTACACCTTATGGAACTGACCAGAAAATGTGGTTCACGAGCCATTTCATTCTCTAAAACACGTACTATTACAGGAAGCAGAGGCTGCAGATGCAACCTGGTGAGATGAAAAATGAGCCAGTTGGGACCATAAAACAAGGAGAAAAGGACATATATGCTGACTTGGCAAGTCATCTAGCACACTGCCCAAGGAGGAGAAATCGCTCATGTGCACAGGCGCGCACACGTAGTCTGTGGCCCAGAACCTTGAAGTTCACAGTGACATCATTTAAATTAAAAAAAAAAATAAAATAAAATAAGATCTGGCACCAGCCTGTCACCAGGCCTACCGGAGAGGTCGTTTTCGCCAAACAACGTTACCCTGGGAAGAGCTCCCTGCCAAACCCCAGTCAAAAACAGTGCCCTCTCTTATTCTCTGCGTTACTTAGAAATCTGCTAAACCGGTGGCCCAAAGAGTCATTTTCACGTCCTCCCCCTGAGTTCAGCTGTTCTGCCCACGACTGCTGAGAGATGTGAGAGTCACGGGCCGAGTGAGAAGAGCACCAAGCCAGGAGTTCTGGCCTTGGCCCCCCACTTCCTGTCAACCGTGACAGCCTCACTCAGACTCCCCAAGCCACAGTTTCCTGCCCATTACTTAGTAAATAAGGCAATGAATAACATAAAGAATACTATTCTCACACAAGTCATGACGTTCCAGTTGTTTTCTCCTTGACATCAGGGCGGTGATTCTGGTCATTTATTAAACACTTATTATGTGCTAGCTTAGATGAATAAGGCCTGGTTTTGTAAAAGTAACAACTAATCTTAACAAGTCACAGAGTGGGGAAAAAAAAATACATGGCTCTGGTTCTGCTTTTTGTGTTAGGAGGTGGGAAATAAAGATGGGAGAGTGAGAAGCGGGGCAATTTTAAACTCAGAGCCTCCGGTAATTCATTCTGACTCAGCATAGCGTATTAGAATAGAATATACACTGGAAGCAACTGGCAAGGACCTGTGTTCTGCCTGGTATTTCTCTGATGGCAGATACTTGCTGAATGTTCGGGGAAGAAAGCGAGACTGGAGGTTAGAAGCCCAGCACTGAGAACTCTCAGGTCGGAGTGAGTGTTCAGGGGCCCTCTGAGTAAAGGGGGTCCCACTCTGGTCTCTGCAGACACAAGAGTCCAGAAGAGCAAAAGGACCATTTGCTCATTCCCAAGGCCAGGGCTGCTGAGAATGGCATGGGCTGGGGAGGAGCAAGGGAGCCAGAGCAGGATGTTCTCAGCTGCGCCAGCCTCCTCTGGGCCCATCACAGAGGGAGTGGAAGCATTCTGGGTCGGTGCTCTCCTACCTGGTGCCATGTGCAGCAGGCCTGGCCTGGCAGCTTTCCCGCAAGCCCAGCTCTCCCCTCCTCCCACGGCTGCCCGGGATCTGCCTGCCACTGCGTTAGGGCAAGTCTGCCCCAAGAAGGTACACAGGACCCAGCCAGGCTCCATGGGTGTCTGGAGAAATGGCAGACCAAGTGGTGGGAAATGGTCAGCCAAAAGCAGAAACCAAAATTACACAAAGGGAAAAACAGGAAGAGTCCATGAAGCAAAAACGGCAAGGGAAGTTTTTGCATTTAACGCCCACAGTAGCCTACCTTCACTCCCCCAGGAAGAATTCTGTCATCCAGGGCCCAGTTCCCAATGATTGCCTGGAGTGTACGTGGAGGCCTACAATAACCAGGGAACTCCAGACAGAGCCATGAGCAACCCACACTGGGGAGTTCCCCAGAAGCTCCCCAGGCTGTGCAGTGTTTGAACCAGCCCCCTGATGCCAGAGAGCAGCCACCTGTTAAGGTGAGCACGCTTGAGGGGGCAGCAGGGGTAAGGCTGAGGGGGTCAGCACACAGACCGTCTCTCCACCACTACTCACCATGTACGAAGGAAAGATCAGAACTCGCTTGTGCTTGCCACAAGGCCACTGGGGGTCATCCAAGAGATTTGGGTCATAGTCCATGAAGTCTCCCAGGTCGCTACCTGAGGATCCCACACAAAATAATCAATAGGGGTCCTGGACTCCCTGAAGCAGAAGCAGCGGGGCGAACGCCAAGTCTAAAGTTAGGGCCTCGGGTTGTTGAGACCAGAATCACGCTGCCCACTCTGCCCCTCAGGAGACATCCCTACAGGCCAGTGAAGGGAACCCCCGACTCGAGGGGTCACCAATACTTAACATCCTAACAGGTTCTCCAGTTTAGAAAATTATGTATCACTCCCCAGACCTGGGAGAGCACAAAACCTCATGAGCATGAACGATGCAGCAGGCACTTGGGTTACAAAATGGGGCACCGAGAAGGCGCATTTGCTGAACCTGCAGATCAAACGAGTCACTCGAGTCCTGCCTCGCCAGCCACTCACTTCTGGTGTGAAGGCTTCCAGGCGGGCTACTGTGTCCGCACACAGGTCAGAGCGGATGCCAGTGCTTCCGAACTCCACACCTGGACAGGCCCGAGGAACTTCCCCGTCATCTGGAGTTTCTCTGACAGTGGACAAATGCTGCTTCATATAGTTCTCTCCCTTGTTCGCACCTTACAAAGGTTTGCAGAGGCAAAGCTAGAAGCAAGCAAGCCTTCCTTCACGATCACAGGGCCATGTTAGCTCACCCACTAGGGGAATCACCAAAAAGTTCTCACACCTGATCCAAATCTGAACACTAGGAAAACAGCAACGAAGAACCAGGCTGAGGTGAGGAGCTGAGTGGTGGGGAAAGGTTGGGGAGGGGGCGATCCGGCCATGTCTATGGATGCAGATGCCCTCGGTTTTTCTCCTTGCGGGAGCTCGGGAGTTGGTAGCTGAAACATCTCCTTGGTTGAGGTCCCCCCGGTGGCCCAGCTGTGAACATGTATGGCCTGAAACTGGGCTTGTCCCAAAGTCATGTGGCCTGTGGGATGAGCTCATGCTCCATCCAGAGGCCCCTGTCCTCCAGTCTGTACAAAGGGAAACCCCGCCCATACAGTGCACCAAAGCACCTTCTCCACGTGCTGCCCGGCCCCACCTGAGGTTACCTGTGTCCAGGCTCCCCTGGGTGCTGCTTGCGCGTCCTATGGAGAGACTGCGGTGGCTCAGGTTACGGAACTGGGAGAAGGAGGAGGCGGAGTCTATGGTATTTCTCCGGACTCCAAAGGCATTTGTGGGTAACAGAAACTGCGTGTAGGAAACAGTCTAAAAGGTGAAGACAAAAACGGACAAAACGAATTACTTCCAAGCCGTGAAAGGTGTGCATTCAAATTCTTACATCTGCACTTCTAAAATCCAATGAGACTGGAGATGAAATTTGTTTTGGTATTTATTTGCGCCAAAACCTAACTCCACTGACTTGAAGCTAGACAGAGTTTTAATTTATCGCACTCCGTGCGAATATTCACGTTATATGGTAGAAAGAGCAGTGTGTTTGGGAACTATCCCCGAAGCACTAGGATCTTGTGTAATACCCAAGACACATACCACACTTTTTTTTTTTTTCATTTTTGAACACCACATGAGCTTTATAACCCACCGAGTACAGAATTCCAGAACACATCAGGCCCCAAGAGTAATGATAAGGGGCTGTAGCCTCATTCCTGTGTAGACACTCCTCACCGCCCCTTTTACTAGATGAGAGAAATGAATTCTTGCCGTAAACAGTTCCCGAGATTACTGCTGATAACGAAGGAATTAATGCCACCACAGAACATCCCTGTATGTTCTGTTGGCAGATGTGATCTCTGATGCTTGTCTCTAGCTCACCTCCCTCATTCCTATGTAGACACTCAATCTTCAGGAATGGACACAGAACAAGTGTTTTTCTTTTCACCTACTTGGAGAAGCCCTGCTCATACACCCCTTCCTGTGAGCTCAGGGCTGATGACACCCGGACACAGTGGTGACCAACTGTTCTGGGAGAGGGGAAGTGGGGAGGTCAGTGGCTGCCCCAGCAGCTTCAGCTGGAAGCAAACTATCCTGAGATGGCTTCCCCAAATACTTGCATCATCTCCATAAACGGGCTTCTGAAGGGTTTACAAAGACTGCCTGGATCCAGCACCAAAAGGTCAAGTTCATCTTTGAATCTTCACCCCTCAGACTTCCAGGCAGCAGCTCACTGGATCACACATAAGGAGGAATGCGATGGCCTTCCCTCTAGGTGCTCACTAAGCCTGAGAGACTCAGCTTCTCAGCATTGTGGGAAGCCTCTCCCCTCCCCCACACTCAAAACAAACTTCCTAGTAGCAGGAATGCAGCGTGGTGACACCATCAGCTAACGCATGTCCAAGCCACTCGGTTCAGAACATGCACGTTGTGTGGGGGATACTTGTCAGTATCCTGCATTCCATCATAAACGGCACTGGTGGAGAAATACTCATGCTGCTACTTCCTTACTGGCTCAGTGGGTTCCCAAGTTCATGCTAAGGGAGTGGGGACAGGCCGGCCCAGACCTGGTTCGTCCACCACCGTCGACTGTCATGCTGCCTCCGATCCTGACCCACCCTGGTGGTGTCGGCACAGACTCGCTACCTGGAAGCTAGGAAGCCTTACCTTCCCGTCAGCTCCCAGCTCCACACCTTCAAGTCCAATGATCTCTTTCAAGCTCACGGCACCTGTGGACTGCTTCCCTCCATCCAACTTCAAATCCCTGGGGAGGACAAGCCCAAGAAAAAATGCTTTGGTTTGTACCCCAAAAAGCCACGATGATGTTTACTACACAAGACACCACAGTCACACTGATGAAAACGAGCATATGGGCTCTGGCCAACAGGGTATCCCTCTGACCCTCCTCGGGGGCCGGTTAACAACATTCTGAGGCAGTTCCACCTTGTCTCATCTACTTTGATATAAATGAAATCCAAGCCATTGGAAAGCCCGGGGATGAAAGGCAGGCTCAGAAGCTGACTGACCTCTGGCGATCCTCCGAGCAAGGCCCCTCTGCTCGCAGTCCGCTAATAGGAAGCCAGGAGCATTCCCTGGGCATGATGAGCCAGTAGTTCTCTTAGGCTCTGGCTGCTGGTTTTATTTTAAAGCTGGCAGAGACCATCTCCCCTCACCGCTCCTTTTACGAGAAGAGAGAAATGAATTCTTACCCTTAACAGTTCCCGAGATTACTGCTGGTAACAAAGGAATTAATGCCAGCACAGCCACCCCAGCCACCTCGCCAGGGGACCTAGAACATGAGCGTCCTTCTATAAAAGAACAATCTCCAGTACTAACCAGCATTTATATAGCGCTTCACAATTTACAAAGACTTCTACACATCGTCTCTGCCATGCCTTAAGATGACCCCATCAGACAGGTACTGCTATCATTAACTTATTTTACAGACAAAAAACCCACAGGAGGCTGAGCGGTTTGCCAAGGTCACCAGGAGAGGAGGCTGTAGAGATGGGGTTTGCATCCAGTGCTGTTTCTAGAACATAGCGTTGCAACTGATCCAAGACTGAGCTGGCTGTGGTTATGCTCACGTCTAACTGCTCACACGGTCAAGGACAATCCCCCTCCTTACGGTGGTCCTCCAGCTTGGCTGCTGACTAGAGAATCACGTGGGGAGCTCTGACAAACCAGCGCTGCCTGGACCCCACCCGTAGACATTGTTTCAGCTGGTATGAGGGGCAACCTGGGTGTCCATTTTAAACACTTGCCAGGGGCTTCTAAAACGCAGCCATGTTTGGGAAGGACTGTCTTCCCGTTTCTGTCCCTATGATGTGGTGCTTATGAGTCAAAAGTCATCTCAGGCTGGCAGTGTTCTTGCTGTGTGGCCTGGAGAGAGGCCCCACGTTCAAGGGTGGGCTCCTACAACCCAAGCAAGAACAAACAGCACGTAAAGACAAGACTCTCCAGGTCAAAGATAAGGAATTCAAGGAAAAAGAGAGGGAGCTGGGTGAGTAAGGAGAGACAAGGAGCCTCCCCTTCTGGGAAGGAGAACAGGGATTCTCTGATTTAGTTGATCTACTGCTGGCTCTATAAGTCTACCTCTAATGCAGCAGTGTGATTAACGACACTTTTAAAAGAAATAGCCAAGGGGCACATCTGACTTGATTTTGGGCTCAGATCATGATCTTGGGTCCCTGGGATCAGCCCTGTGTGCATTCCATGCTCAGTGGGCAATCTGCTTGTCCCTCTCCTTCTGCCCCTCCCCCCCCCGCTTATGCATGTACAGGCTCGCTCTCTCAAAAACAAATAGACTTTTTTAAAAAAAGGAATAACCAAAAATTACATCAAGTATCGCATTTTTTAAAGTAGTCTCCTTAGGACACCATAATATTGCCATGCTCAAACTCTCTGGAACCCATCCCAGTCTGCAAGCTTTATATTTATACATATTTTTATTCTAAACACTATTACTTGAATTAGGGCTTTCCCCCTTCCCCCTAGCCTACTGACCACAGACTGCACAAGACTGTAAATGACTTCAGATAATTCCAGACATCAAGCTCACCCACTAGGGATGGTACAAAATAGGACAGTAACTCACAGAGCTGTAGACACTGTTAGAAGGTGCAGACCATCCCATCCAGAGCTCCAAGCATATTGTGAACAATGGGAGGACTCTGGGCATGTGCTTGCATTCTCCTGAAGTGGGGGGGGGGGGCGCCTCTTCTCTGGGGGGACCGTGAGATCCAGGATGACTGAAATCACGTCACTTTATAAACATGCCCTGTGAACAGAGACCTGCATTCCAGGTCCGGATCTCCAATCTGCAGCTGGAAAGACCAGGCAAGCAGACGGGGAGCAAAGTGGGGCTCAGCAAGGCCACCAGAACCCGGGGATGGCCCACGCCAGAGACCACCCACCCTGCTGCCCCGCCTCCTGCGGGAGCTGTCCAGGCGGCCTGCCCTCACAAAGGGAAATGCCAACACAGCAAGAACCTGAACCAGGCAACGAGGCAAAAGTGGCCTTGGCGGGCAAGGAGAAAGGGGATGGCAGTGGGAGCCCAGGAGGGGAGCGGGTACAAAGACAGCAGTGCCTTGCATTTCACCAAAGGATCTCCGGCTCGCTTCCAGGACATCCTCCTTGCCGGAAGCGCAACCCAGCGGGCACGGGCCTCAAATTCCCAACTCCCAAACAACTGTCTCCTTGTTTCCATTTTGCCAGACAGAGAATGTTATTTAGGGCTGAATCTAATTTAAAAGCAGGGCCTATCTTCACGGGGTAAGAAAACCCAAAGAAGTACAGATATTAAAATATGCCCATTTTAAGGGTGCTCCTAAACGGAGAGCCGGCTGCAGGCAAGGACAGAGGCTCATTCCGTGTTTGTGTCCTACCTACACAATGTCTGACGTGCAGTATTTACTTGAAGAAGCCAGGTAGCCTGGCTCTTTGCTGCCTCACCAGAGCTGGTTTACACAGATGGCAGGGGCGAGGCTATTTTTCTATCATGCCCCATACCATCGGTCTCAATTTGCTCCCAGGCTCCTGCTTCCCTGGGCAGACTTGCCTTAGCCAGGGGCCCCTCCGTGCTGAGGTACACAACCCAGTTCACAGAAGGAAACTGGCCATGCTCAAACCACACTCCCCTTCCCGATGCCGCCCCCGAGGGAAATGCAGCCCTAACATGCATTTCAACTTCATGTGTGCACAAACAGCCTAGATGCCTCTCATGAGACAAATCCCAAAACGCACTTAAACAAACAGGGGTTCTCAGATCCAGTGAGTATTCTAGCACCTCCGGGACACCCTGGACCACCCAGAGGACAAAGGGTAACAGGCACAGCGCCCCCACACGTAACCACGGGAACCCATCTCTCGAGAATGACTGTGTGGGTCTGCTCCCTGCAGCCATCACTTCCCACAGCCCTTCACTTGTATCATTGTCCTTTCTCAGTAACTAAGGCCAAGCTGAGTCAGAAAACAGGCCCAGAGTGCAGTGGATCCACCCTCAACTGCTCCTAGGAACAACGCAGACTGCTCGTTACGGACCGGTCCTGTCCAACAGTGCTTTCTGCAGAGACGGACACATCCTCCGTCTGAGCTGTCCGGTGTGCTAGCCAGCAGCTCTATGTGGCAACGGGGTACCTGAAGTGCGATCACTTGACTGAGGAACTGAATTGTTTATTTTAGTTCATTTATTATTTATTAATTTATTTATTTAAAGATTTTTATGTCATTTCTACAGCCAACGTGGGGTTCGAACTCCCAACCCCAAGATCAAGAGTCACATGCTCTACCGAATGAGCCGGCCAGGGACCCCTCATTTCAGTCAATTTAAATTTCAACAGCTAGCTAGTAAGCTAATAACATAGCAAGCGGCTACTGTATTGGACCAAGTAAGCCTTCCACAAGCAGCCTGGCCACTGCCTCCGGGTGTTTACTTTCCAGGCCCGGCTCACTGGAGAAGAGACTGTGTCAGGTGTCCCAGAGGAGGTGGGAGACAGGCAGGACCCTGCAGATGGAGCCAGCACAGGACCACCCTCTGTGGGGAGGGAAAGGAAGACCGTGGGACTCGTGTTCAAAGGGGACCCACGTCCTGCAACCCTTCAACACTCTGGAACAGGGCTCCTGACAGTGATAAAATGCACATCCTAGGTGAGGCACAGAGCAGCAGGGTCCCCAAATCTGAGGCATGAGAGAGACTGCAGGTCCTTTACACATCCTGGTGGAGAGAGAGGAGGATGCCCAGTGATGATTATGTTTTAATTTCGCTTTAGTCTTGGGGAGGTGGGACATTAATAGTTCATATTAAGTTTTTTTTTTAAGATGAGACATTTTCCACACACCACATCTGGTGCCCTGCTATCTGCTCCATTTGAACTTCAAAACCTCATCCACATGGTAATAAATATATCTGCTCCAGAAAACCCACAGCTTCATGGCAGTGGCTGAGGGCAGACTTTCCAATTTTTCTGCCTCCCACTCAAGAAGAGTTTGTCCCTAACTTCCGGGCTGCCGTTTTGGTGGCACTGAATTAGGAGCACACTTGTACACACATCTGTTTGCATGTGCATGTCCACCGATCGAGGCACAGATCTCATCTAAGCTAGGTAGTATGTTGGTTTCCTAGCTTTTTATTGTCTCTATATTAAGATATTTGGCATCTGAAAATGGCATCTTTCATAAAGAGGCTGACAGACTTTTCTAGGTTCCTTAGCTAAGTGCTTGCTGAAACGTTGTATTAACACGAGCCACCCGAAAATGCTGTTGTTTGCCCAATTTGACCTATGTACACAGAGACTGCATGCACATTGCGTCACCTGATTTACAGGTAAGGCAGCCGCTCAGGACTGTAGGCGGGACTGTAAAGCAAGCAAGAGACTATGGCCCTGGACACCCCTGGTCTAGGGAGCCAGGAAGAGTTGCCTACAGAAGGGAACTGTGAACGGTCCTGCTGCTTCACCCAGAAAGAATCTTTTAAAAACTTCAGTGAAAAAGGATTAAGCAGAAGTCCCCAGGGAGTCATGATAAAATCTTGATGTTTCCTTTCTAACATCATTGTCCTGAATTCTCATTAAAATCGTGTATGAAAACAGAAATATCTGTTTGGCTCAAAAGCTAGCATTAACCCTCCAGGAGCAGGAGAGAAAACTGGAGAACACGGAACTTCAGCTGTAAGTAATTGAAAGCAGAATGAAGTCGGACTTTCCAGTTTCTTTGAAAAGCCTAGGAGATTATTTTCCCCAGATCCATGTAGAGTCCAAATATTAA